TTAATTCCATTTTTTATTATCATTATTATTATTAATTTGACTAGAGAGAGAGAAAAGGACAGCAAAAAAGGAAGCCACCAGGTCCAGGACTGAAACCGCGGTCGGCCATGTGGGAATCCTGTACCTTTACCGTCATGCCACCACCATCTGCCGAGATTCTTTAGCGTTTTCTCCAGTGCAGTCCGCTGCTGACAAACTCTCGGTCTGTGTTGTTCTGAAAATGGCTTAATGTTACCCCATTTTTTAAAGATATTTTTGTCAAGGATGGATCGTTAGCTGTTAGCTGGTCTCGTTCTCGGCACACGGAGCTGCAGCTTCCCTGTCCTCTGGCTTCCTGTTGGCAGTGGGGATCTGCCTACAGTCCGGGAGCTAGCTGCTCCTTTCCTGGTAATCTGACTTTTCTCCAGCTAAGAACCTCTCTGACTTTGCTTTTTGCATTTTCCCTGAGGTGTGTCTGGGTGTGGGTTTCCTTCACCAGATGCACAGGCAATCTTGTATCTGTGGACTGGTGCTTTTCACCAGGTCTGGAAATTCTCAACTATTACAAGTTTTAAATATTCTTCTCACCCTCTGGGACTGCCATCAGACCTGTGCAGGTCCTCTCGTGGCATCCTCTGCATCAGCGTTTCCCAGCTTTCCATCTCTCTCTGCAGTCTGCATCTGTCTTCCAGCTCACTAATCCTCTCCTGTGGCCATTTGGCCACCAAACAGCCACTGAGTTTTCAGTTTCAGTTGTTAATGTCTTAAATTTCAAGATGTTCTATTTGGTTGTCCATCCACTGTGCTTTGTATGGTTTTCTGTCCCCCGGAGATGTCTCAAGCTTGTTTCTCTTTTCTATAAACATAGTGGCCACAGCAGTTTTGTGTTTGGGTCATGTTTGGGTCTGGTACCTCCGTCATGTGGAGTGTGGTGTCTGTTTCTTTCGGCTCCTGTTCATGTTGCCCTGTTTCTTTGTGTGCCTGGTTATTTGTGACATCTGCTCACTCATGCTCTTGAAAATATATTTTTGGGGGTTCTATGAGGGCAAGGATGGAGGCCCTCCTCTGGGAGCATTGATATCTGCTTCTTCCAGGTGCCTTGGGATACTTCCCATTGGGGACCGCCTCTCCTCAGGGCCCTGCCCTGAGAGTCCGGGGACTACAAGGTCCATGTAGACCCAGGCTGGTCTGCAGCCTGTCAGGTGGCCTGAAGGAGGTGGGCGGCTGCAGTGGTTCCCAGAATCCCTGCACTCCACCTGCTGTGGGGCAGAGGCCAGTGCTGGGCTAGCCGCACCTCCCCCGGGAATAGATGCCATCTTGGGAAGCAGCTCCCTGAGCTGGAGTACACTGTGACAAGCTCAGGAGTCTGGTCCCCTCTATAGGACCGTTTCCCCCTGGACAGGACAAGGCAACAACCCTCCCTGGGATGGGACACCTGGAAGGGAGAGAGGGAGAAGCACTCGGCCCCTGCCAGCGAGAGGCCGAGGCATTTCCAGAGAGGAAGCCATGCCTTGTCAGCACCGTAGGTTCTGTGACCTAGCCTCAGCGGTTGCATCTCTACATGATGAAAATCTCACCAACTCCAAATCCTGGGGTTGGACGGCATCTGGACGGCAGGGCCGGAGGCCCCAGGGTTTTGGTGACTTGGCCCAGAGTCGCCTATCAGATTCAGGGTCCTGGCCGCTTACTGTCACCTAAGCCTGAGGCCCCTTAAGATGACCTCCAAACCTCACAGTGCTGTACTGCTCTGGCCTACAAACTGGCCACCATTGGGCTCTGAGATGTCTTACTCTGAGAACACTGAAGGCCGTGGGCCCCTGCTCCAGGCTGGGTTGGGATAGTGACTCCTTCGGCCTCAGAGCCAGGCAGCTGAGCAGCATCACACGGGCCCAGCCGATGGCCCAGGATGAGGGCTGGCCTGAAGGTCTGTGGATGGCGGTCTCAGCATGCCGCCCCCGTGTCTCCCTGGCTCGCTGTCGGCCCAGCAGGACCCTGGAACCCGTGTGTGAGTGGCTCAGGTCAGTGACTCCTCTCCCAGAATCCCCCAGGCAGGGACTTGGCACAGGGCCAGCTGCCGAGCCGCCACGAGTGTGCATGTCTGCGCATGCTGGGCATGGGGCCTGCTCTGCCCACAGGGAGGCCAGTGGTGTCACACCAGGACCCAGGCCGGGAGGGCTCTCGCTGCTCCAGGCAAGGAAGAAAGGGCCAGAGGGAGGCTCTGCTGGGTGTTGGGGGGGTGAGCGGGAGCTCATGTTAGGCGAGGGGAGCAGCCCCAGAAAGGCGAGGTGTGCTGCCAGGGTTGCCGGTGGCCCAATGCCCCGGGTGCCTCCGGAGGGCTTAGCACCGGGCACTGGCTTCCCTCCGATCTGTCCTAAGATGTCCTGCATCGACCTGTCACACACCTGGGCAGGGACTGCTAGGAAGCCTCTCTACCCAGATCAGCCCAAGCCTGGTACGGAGTGCCTCGCCCCACTCAGAGCCCCGCCTTGTCTCAAAGGCCCCTCTGCGCACCCTCCTCCACCCCCCTATTTCTCAGCCACCATCTCACCCACCCCATCGGGACGCATAGGGTTGCGTTCTCACTGCTGCTGGGCCTGGCTCTCTCCTGGGGCCTGCGGACACCGACCAGTGCGATTTCTAGGGACCCGCTAGACAGCTGGTAGATCTGCTGCATAGAGGCCCTGGGCACGCCCCTCAGCCCTCAGAGAGCGGCTTCCTCCACTGTGCAGTGGGGAGTCATGGCTACCCTGTGTGGGACCATGGTGTGCATCAGCTCTGCTCGGGGGAAAAAGCCCCGGCCACGCCTGGCACACAGAGAGCAGCGGGGCAGCCCGCCCTGGCCTCCTGAGGTGAAGCTGGCTCCTCCCACGGCAGCCCCGGATCGGATCCAGTAGTGTGGATGGTACAGGTGAGTGTGAAGGTAGGGAAGAGGCCCCAGGAAGGGGGGTGGAAGGGAGAGCCCACACTTCCTTCCTGCTCCACAACTTATAAAT